CGCAATTTTTTTCTCATGTACAACCAAAGTGCCCAGCCTGTTCCCCCTTATTCGTCGCATATGTGGGGCAGACAAGCGAAAGCATACGACTGTCGACACCCATCTGTCTTCATTATTCTTTATTACGTCCCATCCCACCTTATTTGGTAAGCATTCTTCCGTAGAACCCAGCTGTAGGTATGCCAACTTGACACTCAGGTGAGGGACCATTCGCACACCACTTCATTAATCACACCCCGTTTGGCCGTTTTAATTGCAGCCTTTAATGTTCGAACCTTTAAATAATCTGGTCAAGGGACCGCTCTTGTGTAGTCCGTCTATATACATTTGCGGTATTTTCGAAACTTGCATACAAGATCCAAACTCAGTAATTGAGCTCTCGCAACCCCCAACTGCGAAGTTAAGGTGATTCTTCAGCTACATTTGCTGGTTGTCCCGGTGTTGGTATAGCTTTCAGGCTTGATTGCTCGCTTGATTGGATGTCCACAGTCGCCTTTATGCCGTTCCATTGTCCACTTCTGTAGGGACTCGAACCGGTCGAAATACTAACCACCCCTTCTTCCAAGTTTGCGCTTGTGCACCAAACAACTGCGAGTTTGACTCTCTTAGCGTTACTTTCTACCGAAAAATATGACTTTCTCACCTACCGTGACCAGCTCAGATATGGTCTTCTAGGGAATATCGTACCATTTTCCAGCGTGTCGTCTATATGGAAGTGAAACAGCAAAGTTCTCCCCCGCAAACTTATGAACACCGCCTATCTTGATGTTTTCAGTTTTGTTGTTTCAGTCAGTAAGACTAACTCAAACCCACCCTATTCAACGGATGTCCCGAGAGTCTCAGAAGCAGGTTTCAGTAAGCTGGTTTTCATGGATGATAATAGACTTTTAGAGTAACGTTGTCTGTGATATTACACTCAAACAATAGAACTTTAGTCTCCACTTTTCCTCACAGATCCCATTCAATCCAGCTTCAATTATTTGGTTAGTGAGTGTAAGCGGTCGACTGTGCTAGGTGGGATTGGTTAAACTTACTGAAAACGATCCACAGTAGCCTAAACTCTACGAGAATGACCGTTGCTCACCGAAACTTAGCAGTATAACACTCTTAGAATGTGAATGTCTGAGTCGTGAATAGGTAGAAAAAACACGTTTTTTGTAACCAGGATGTTAGTGTCAATGGCGATCATCAGGATGAGACGTAGGTAATCGCTGGCGGACTGTCAATCGGAGTGACGAATGCAAACAACGACTTGGCGAACGATTCAACGGAAATTGTTCTCATTGAGACCCAGATGTTAAAAGGGAGTGCGAAGATATAACGAAGGTGGGAATTAGTCGATCGCTTTGTGGGCCCCAATCACTAGTGACCGTCGGTGGTTTGCCGGCAGTATCAGTCTTTACGAGCTCAGCACTGAAAATATGAATGTGTGAATAACATCGTTGCTGAATGTATTGAGCTAGTTGTCATGCGACTGTTTCGTTCTCACGTACGACTTCGATGTGCACATGCATTATAAAGGTCTGGCGCGGGATTTTCCAATCGGCACTTTGCTAGTCATTTTACTCAGCTCTTATCAAGAAGGAAAACAAACGAAATACACTCATTTGCAAACACGTTTGGTTTTCCAAGAGACTCACAAAGAAAACAAGGTTGTGTCGGGTAGGCCTTGCTGGTTTGCACTCATGTGTGCTTTCTATCGTACGTGGACAAAATCATTTTCACACCCCTAATAATAAGGGTAGATGATTTTGCGCAATGCTGAGGTCGTTTCAGCAGCTAGCAGACAACCTTCAACAGTTTCGGGTCACTCACTTGAGGAACTCTCAACATTGGCCAGTGATTTTAGTGAATGTTGATGACAATACGGTTGTTCTATGAAAATGCATCTACATTATCTACAAATACCTCTAACATTAATTAAACACACGTATTAACCTCTTTGATGTAAAATGTGCACCATACTCCCCCTACTGAGGCTTCGCGCACTAACTGGTGGACGAACGTTTTCCAGAAATCATCCTGTACTTTGTAGACCAGAAATTCAGCGAAGGATTTTGTTTCAGACATGTCTTCACCGTGGTCGCATAGTCAATCTAACTGTTGGTCATTATCTACCTCATGGACCGTCTTGTGTATAGATAGTCTAAACGGTTCAATGTTCCTTTATGATATAGGATGAACAAAGGGGGGATTACTTAAAACCTTCACATGTCGATTTGTGTTCTATGGAGTCGTCGAATTCTACTGTGTTTCACACAGCTAAAATTAAATGAAATCAAATTGACCAGTCGTGGCATAGTTTCGGTTAAGGGCCTCTGTGCATCCCTAAGAAAGGACGGAGACCGAATCACAATGCTTACCGAGACAGGAATGATAGAAAATCCAGGGGTGGGTTCGAATCTCGGTCTCTAGGTCAGCAGCTTGCGCTCCAAACAATATTGGGTCAAATTTGATTTTGCCGGCCATTGCCCATTTATCGAGTGTAAGACTGCGTTAGCCGCCGAGATCCACTCTGTCTACGTGAGTTCATCTAATTTCTTTCTTGGGTAAGATCACTTGTTCACATGTCCACACGACAGTAATTAGTTGTCGAGCTGAATAGGCTTGCCCACACTTTCTAAGTTACCCAGGGTACTCAACAAAACAAACGGTCAGGAGTCCTCAGTTTGGTAATACATCAAAAACCGATGTTTTTGTCCCACTGAAGTTCTTGAAGAAACATGACGTTGAATCGTTCGATCCACCCAGAAGTGCACTGTAAAAATGTGAACGCGTCTCGCTAGACAACGTCCCGCAGATTCTAAATATCTTTTCTTTCGGGTCGGTCAGGACCAATACAATCACCATTTTATACGTTTTCAAGTTGGTTACACCTAAACGACCGCTCTGTTGTGGACTTGCAAATGTTTTCCAATTTCGCCGCCACCCTTAGCGATAGCAACTTGTCATCCATTTTGAGCCTTGTCTTCTCCCTCCGGTGTATCAGAGGTTTCGCTAAGTAAAAGTTTCGAGCAGCGTTTTCCAGGGTCAAAAAATCCAGCGCTTTGATAATCTTCTGCAAAAGTCTGGCTTACTTAGTTGTGCCTATCGGTAGCGTCTGGAAATTCTGTGGTCTTCCTGGCGTATGTCAAGTCGTGCACATGGTTCATCCGGGGATCACAGTGAATCAAATGAGAGCCTCAGCAGAGGACTTTTTAGGTTAGCTTCCATTTACTTTCTTAGTGAGTTAACTGTCTCTCCATATTCTTTCAAACAGGCTATATATAGATCAGTTTTCATGACAGCCGTGACTTGTCAGAATGCGGTTTCGGCAGCTACTGGTAATGACCGTAAAGACTCACGCATCGTATCGATAAAGTATCAGCTAAACTCACTTCTCCTAAGCACATTACAGACAGTCACCAAAACCATCAGCTCATTGTAGTCAAATTGATACGGTGGAATATCTGTGGCGATAACCGACCGAATGCTACCTCGCTAAGTTAGATAGGGGATTTTACCTGCACTGGGTCACCCTCTAGTGATGGTTGTTCGACTTGAAGCTACCTCAGTGGGTGGGCTATCCAGATCTAGGAGACCATCGTTGTTGCTGAAGTTCTGGATTCTCCAATGGGGTTAAGCTACTCGAAATTAGCACGATTCCTTGGGAGTTCGATGAGCGCACTGGTTATTAGTCGTACATTTTTAAAGCACATAACTGTGGCCTTAACACCGCCACCGCTGACGGAGATAGCTTACGATACCTTCAGCATTCATGCTGCCTACCCACATACCTTGCACAAGATATCCCGTCACTTCATGCAAATGAATACAACCACATGAGATAGATGGAATATGATCCACCTATAATGAAGGCGATCTGTTCACCTTCAGACGTCCGCCCCTCATCCAGTCTGATAAAACTGTGTAGCACAGCGTTGTTTCTTCTGTTTTTGGTATGAGTGACTAAGATCGTTTCAATTCACAGTTTGGATTAAATCAACATATTCAGTCATCCTAACAACCATTTCAGGAACGACCCTTCAATGAGACGCACGTCTTTGTTTCCGAGTTGCTTTTCTCAGCTTCAAAATAATTGGATATTTTGCTGGACAGAAGTGTAACTGACAAAACAAAATATCCAAGGACGATTCCAAAATATGCTACTTACTTTCGTCAGATTAAAACATGTGATGAGTAGGAGGACAAAAATTTCTGGAACAACGCAATTTAGGCTTGCCGTTGCCATGCTGTCGAATCAGAGTTGCAGTGAGCACAGCATGGGTCGGAGGTATGCATCCATATGGTTTATCCCAGTTGGTGCATCACAAACTGTTACGTGTTCCGCTGGTTGGTGTTATTCGTATCTAATAGGAAGTCTCACGCTGATACGTATGGGCACGCCGAGCATTCCTGTGTATTTGTTCCTTATTTGTATTGCTCCGCCCAAACAGGTGTTCAGTTTTCTTCTTCCGGAAAGTTAACCTTTGACCTCTTTGTCAGATTTTTCACGACCAGAAATGTTAAATAGTTCGGGGACAAGTTGTTTCGCTTAAACCTCTGTAACCTGTTGTGAGCTGTGCTCGAATGTTTTCACGGCTGTGTACAACATGTAGTCTTACATATGTACTCCAAATCTCGTATCAATCGGTTGTGCGTCACGTGAATTGAATCCTAGCTAGGCCCTGGGGACAGACTGTGGAGGCAATCAAGTCAAAGTCATCTAGCTGGCTTGGAAACACTGATGCGCTGGGCCCAACGGATTAACGTGTGTGCTGGTGTATCACCGATAACCTCAACATTGACTAGGCGCATCTGAGTGGAAGAGATTCAAACCTAATTGGCATTACTACCAACTAACCCCAGTTGGCCGAGACGTCTACTCAACTTAACTAGAGTTAAATAAGTTAAGCAAGCACCGACTAAGGATTCTGCCGTCATCCTTAAACCGAGCGGGTGAATTTTGTTCCGATTAGTATCTCAGTGAGTCTTGAGAGAAAAAGGCATTCGTGTATTTTCGAAGCCGTCGGAGTTCAGACCTCACTGCTCAGGAATCCGACCGGACAACTCCGGACTATCTGTTGACTCGTTGAAAACAGCTTGTAGGAGGGGCGAACCGTTTTAGTCATTGAGTATTTCATCAACCAGAAACTTCTTCTGGCCAGTTGTGCTTCTCATCAGAATTGTTTTTATACATCCCGAGTTTCCCACTTCCTCCATCTCCTCAGCTTTTGGCAATCGGTTTTGGTGAAAGAGGCTGTGAAGTTGTTGAACAGGTGGTGGTGATGTTGGACTGTCAATGTTAGTCGGTCGAAGGTGGCTGGTAGACACGGAGGCTGGATTAGCTGTCTCTAAAAACACACTGTCTGAAAAAGACTCCGTGGATTTAGAATGTGGACTTCCTTTGGATTCACAGCTGGCTGTGGAAAATTCGTGGACATCGTGACTGAAAAACAAATGAAAGGGGAATACGTTATCAAGTGTGAGATAACGAAGGAGGAGAAACCAACAGGTCATCATCATCATCA